TAATTTGGCCCAATGATTTTGTCGTTTCAACAGTTTTTTAATGTCTAAGTTACCTACACTGATTGCAGGATCGGCAGTCAATTGACTAAGCCTTTTCCTGGAACAATTATCATATATTCTCCCCCCTCCCGTCCGGCCCCACCAAGATTTCCGACACTGTTCGAGTTGCCAGTGTATGAGTATACCGTACATCTGGCGCATCTCTAGCGTATTCTGATTTCTGTGTGCGCCTAGAGTATGCTTATCGTATAAACCACACGACCGAATATGCGCAAATTTTTTAAGCATGCTTAACATGTATGCCAACCTATGCCTGACGTACCCCTAGCTTATGTCAGCGTTTTCCAGCGTATAAGTGATATTTTTCATACGCTGGCATACGCTAGTACCTCTGCGCTAGTAAGATACGCAATAATGTGACAGCGCCTTCAGTTAACGTTTATTCATCCGGTTTTTCACCGTCACGTGTGTTGTATTTTTGCCAAATCTACTAACAAGAAATTCCAATTTTCTCGTATTGTTCGAGTTAGAGATAGGTAACTTTCCTAAAACATTGCAATTGGTTAGTTTGGCAAAAATACAATACGCACGTGACGCGAAAGTACCAGATTTATGAATAAACATTGACTAACACAGAAAATAAGTTATTGTTATTCTAAATAGTATCACAACCATCTTCCTTTCGATAAGCTATGCTTTAACTTAGACGAATTAAATCCATGACGAGCAACTAAGGATTATAAAAAGATACGAACATCAAAACCAGAAACTCACAATACATAATTTCCACGTACGTATTTATTTCGTCATGAAAATATGACGTCATATGAAACGAAGACGCACTACAGTTTTATATGTTTGATCATGACAGATAACATCGTGGACAAATTTAATTCACCAGTTGAACTTAACTCGCTTCATGCTTTGCACAGACGTCGCATTTAATTTCTTCAATCAAATTATTTTTATTTGAATTCGACGATAATGCGACGTATAAAACAGTCTTCAGTCTTTCTTGCGATTCATACCTAATTGTTGTTAATCGTTCAACGACCAGCAAATTGCCTGCCATGTACATGTGAAATGTTCCGTTGAACATTTTCTTTTGTACCGAGATAATTGCGATACAGGAAATTTTTTTGCTGAACGATACGCTTACACAGTGAGTGGTCGGCAGCCAGTTTACGTGTCTTTTATCACGTCATCGGCAGACTTTTTCAAGCAGCAATGTCGGGTATATATTAGTATTTAAACTGAAATATTTCTTCGATTACTCCTTCTCTCATTAGGAAGAGACTGTCGAAGTAATTGCCAAAATATGCTCTAAATACTGGTCTTTCTTTCATATCCACATTAATAATCAACAATCGCCAGCTTGATAATCAAGGTATACGGTGGCGTAGCCATGGTATATGCGTGAGAAAAGTTGAAATCCATGCAGGCAAAAAGCATGCAGGAATGGTGGGGAGGGATGGCGACAAAGCAACTATATGAAATAACGATAAAATAATGTCTCCCAAGTTAAGCCCTGGCTACGCCATTGAAAGTATGCTGCTCTTATCTCATAATTGTGTATGTTGGGGTCGGGGACAGACAAAGCGTAACGGTCGAAAATAAGTGAGGCCCAGGTTTACTTTCGAGAATTGGGCAAGTGGAGGACAAGTCTTGCTGAAAAGGTAGGTTTTCTTTTTTAAGTTTTTTTTTTATAATCTGAATATGATAAGCTTTTCATTTTTTTTGTTTATATATCTTGGATGTTTCATTTTCCATTTTTACACAACTTATTTGGTGCTCAGATGAAGAGTGAAAGGAGACAGGCAACATTATATGAAAGAAATATAGCGTTGCTTAGGTTTCTTCGTCTTGTGATAATTAGAAGAGCTTTCAAATAGGAGTCGAAACAAAGGCTGGGAACAAAAACGTATTCGGAATTAGATACTTTTCATCGAGTCTTCGAATACCAGTGTCCGTACTTGTTTTGGAACATTGAAATTAGGGATAAAACATAGATATCTTATATACACTAGATAGTGCACCTAATTATTCTGCAATTCAAAAATTTAAGCCGTGATTGCAGACTTGGGATATTCCCATAAAATGAGAAGATTCGTATCACGTTTTCTATTTCTAAAGAGGAAACTTAAACATTAAGTTAAACCTATTCCAAATGCATTTTTAAATTATTCAAGTGATGAAAGTTATTGTTGTTTTTTAAGCGTTTATTAGCGAGTGGGAACTACCACATGGCCGCCATATATTCAACCATTTGGAATATTCTTGGCTTCAATTCAGCCGCTGGAATATTCTTGGCTTCAATTTTACTAAAAGAGATACGCTATCTAGTGTATATAAGATATCTATGGTATAAAAGGAGTAAAAAATCGGAATTGCGCGTATTCTAAGAAATCGGAATTGCGCATATTTTATTAAAATTGAACAGCAGCGATTCGCGGTTTCAACCCTTTCTTCGCTTTTATCCCGCGCGCTTTTTACGTGCACGTGTTATCTGCACTGACCGCTTCAATTTAACTGTATGCATATTACTCGCTTTAAGTGTTTCTACCCCACTGCATTGATATAACTGTATAGGAGATTATATTTCTACTGATATTTATTGACAGATATTTATAGGACATAGTTCCCTGTAGTATAACAGCAGGCATAGGAAACATGGCAATCGAAAAGAGCTTTGGTGGGAAAAATTTTCTTGATTGTAACCGTGACAAAGTTTGAACCACGAATACTTTTATACAGTATATGTTTGCATAATTTCCGTGTGCACATATCCTACATACATTGCACGCATACACTGCCACATATCTATATCTGGGAATGGTCTGTTTTAACCCCGTACACTTGTTAACTGTGTAGTCCGTGTGTGCTACGTAAGTTGAGCATGTATGCTGCATGCGTGTAGATGTGAATGTCGCTTTGGCTGTGGAAGCGTGCATGTTGTGTAGGCTGGTAATATTATACTAACGACGTATAACTTTAAATATTTTCAACGTTTAGAAGTAAAGATATCGGAAACCGTGCAAGTCGTTTCAACTAAATTTTATAAAAAGTAATTTAGGGGCACATACATACCATATGAACGAAGATTGAATACCACTCCTGGAAAGACTTAAACGTTGACCTACAGATACTTTTAGTGGCAGTACAAGTCGTTGGAGTTCAAACTTGCATGTGCACTACAATCCTAATGTTTGCACATATGTCATTTTTTTCATTTCCTAATTTGCTTCCTCACATAAATTATCATGGACCGAAGTGGTCCTTACTTGTTTTATATAATTAAATTGATATCAAACCTAATTTGGTATATAAATTATTGTCTATAAGCCAATCGATGGATACTCAGAAATATATTATTATGTACTATTTAAAACACGAGAAGGAGTGTTTTATTAGGTTTAAACGCGAGCGCGGAGCGCAAGCGGCTTGAGACCTAATCATAGAAATAATAGACATAGAATGCGTGCTCCTATCTCTTCTCAGTAAAAATGTTGTCTCCACAAAATGGCGGATTTATAAGGGCATTTTGGCTAGTCCCAGACTCCTGTGGCGTGGAAATTCGCGCGGTGCCGGGAGTGCGAATTGTTTTTTTCAACAAAGTTTGCAAAAACAATTCTATCCAGACTTGAAGTGGAAAAAAAGTGTTTTTAATGGAGAAAAACCCATTCCCGTGGGGTTTTTTACGAAGAGCAATAGTTCTGAACAGAATATATAGAGAAATCGTCGTTTCAAAATACATTTTCAACGTTGTTGTGCAAGCCAAAACAAAACACGAAAAATCAAGACAAACTGAAACTCAAGAGGTATGTTTTAAAAAATATATTTCAACTGTTTTACAATATAAATAGAGTTCAATAATCTTTTTAAACTTACACAACTACTTTTTATACTTTTTTATACGTTGCTTGAGCTTGAGGCAACGCTTTTGAAACCATATGTTTTCGACGATCAGTTTTAAATATCAACAACTGAAATATTTTTGTTTCAAAAACATGAAAACACTTCGTTTAGATTGAAGAAAAACAAAACCCGGCGAAGAATGAACTATCATCTCGTAATTTTATAAAGTATTAGCAAAACAGTTACGTTCAGAGCTTGCAAAAATGTTTTATGAGTAAGTTATATTTTATACGCGAAACTACACGAAAAAACTACTTGTTTTTTATACAAGGCTGCACGATTTTCACCGTTTTTGTAACGGCACATTTGCTTTGAGCCTTTAAAGAACTTAATATTTCAAATTCTATCCCCAAACTACAAATACCAAACGTTTTGACGATGAAAACTTTATAGTTTTAGTTTTGTTTATACTTTGTAGCTTGCACTCCCACTCAAATTCAACATGGCGGATTTATAAGGGCCATTCTATTTAATGTCCACACCCCCCTCCCCCCCCCTACGGATGAGTTTTTCTGAAGGGTGACTCAAAAAGTCGTTTCTGAGGGGTTAAGCATGTCGGCATCCTTTGATCTCTGCGATTTTTCTGAGGGGTAAGGGGAAAATTTACAAATTTCTGAGGGGTGTTTTGTGTCGGCACTTTGATCTTTTTTTCTTAGGGGTTAAAATTTTACTGACCTCATCCGTAGGGGGGGGGGGTGTGGATATTAAATGGAATGGCCCTAAGGGCATTTTTGTTTTCAGTTTGGACACCGGTCACGTGACCAAGCACGCATTCTAGGTCTAATATTTCTATGGACCTAATAAAACACGACCTGCGAGTTTATTAAATGGCTTCAAACACGACTACCACAAATTCAATAGGTATACTGCCTTATTAGTATTCTTTATATGAAGAATACCAATAAGGACGCGACTACTATAGATAACTGCCTTATTAGTATTCTTTATTTAAAGAATACTAATTAGGAGTGTTTTATCATGAAGGTTTAAAGCCACTGCACGTGACATATTATGGTTGACATGATTTGCCAATAAGCTTATGAATTATTAATAAATAATGATTTTTGAAGATTTTGATTACATACCCATTGGCTGTAGAGAGCTGTGAAAAACAATTAGGTCTTCATATGCCCTGTCGACCAGAATACGATGAACTGTATTTCTGTTCGACACATTCATTCGATTTATAGAAAATGGGTCACGTTTTTGGAAGTACAATGAATCTCCAAATATGGCCAGCATATAGTCACTAAATGATCCAGTTGTGATCTTTTTCTCGTGCTGGAAGTCATAATCACTTGAATATATATCCCGACCTTTCTCAATCCAGTATACTCGTTTGCTGGTGTAGTCAAGTGTAATACCTCGAAGCCATGAGCGCCTTGCCAAAGTCTTTATGTTGCTAGTGGCCAAATCCATTCGCTGTACGTTCCAAACCCCTGTCCAAAACAAATACCTACACAGTAAAGAAAAATGATAATGTTAAAGACAAGTACAAATATCTTTCTCTTAAATTCTTCGTTTTCAGATTCGCTGTTTGTCACAAACATACTACTACTGAGATAATAAGTTGTCAAGAGGGATGTGAAAAGGAGGCTCGAAAGGAGCTTAGTCCCACTTGTCAGGATTTCCTTTAACTATGGTGGCGGGGATTAAGATTTTTATCAAGACATCCAGAAATAATCTTTGAAAATATGTCAAATTTTTGATAATTAAGTAAGATTTAGCAAGTTTTCCGTACACACGAGATGGCATTTTCACTAATGATCCACGTAGTCATTGTATATTTCCTGTTTTAATGTGATAAAACTATACGCTGGAAAACAATATTTAAAATGCATGAAGTTGTTTTTTAAATGATCCAAGCCACAGTCGAGGTCACGTGGGTTTCGACAACGATTACAGTGGTTGTTCACCGTCCTATGGCGGAAGGAATATATGAGCGGCGTGGAGAAAATACCCTGGTAGACGCTGGTCACGTGATCTGCTAAAATCTAGCAGATTTCTAATTAACTATCTTGGATTCCTTTACGATTGCAAATTAAAAATCTACTAGTCTTTTCTTCCCTCGCCAAGAGAAAAGAATCTGGGTACGAGGTTGCTGTCGGGGCTGCTTGAAGGCACGCTGCATTTATATTAACCATTTTGTACCCTGCTTTCACAATTTTTGAAATGGATGCTAAGCTAGCTGGCCAAATGCATCTAACGATAAGAGAGTGTCCAAGCAGTTTACACCTTCTTTAATTGAAATATCCCAACGTTTAAACATTTTACGAGTAGACCACAGAATGTTATATAAAACGGATATATAAAAAAGTGTTCCAAATGGACTGAAATTTGTTGTATAGATTGAAAGCTTGCACGCAATGTGGAATATACATATATTTTATAGTTGAAGGGCGCGCTATACTATAATCAACTGACGCATTAATTTGGGTTTATTTTCCAGCTAAAATATTGACATTTCAACATATTATTGTAACTGTACTTTGGGTTTTTGTTGTATTGATAACAGAGTGTATGGTGCATCACAGTGGAATTTCTTGGGAGAGTAAAAGAAAAGTGTATCTTCAACAAAAACGTCACCTCCCGCAAGAAAATGTCAGTATCTGCTGGCGCATACAGAACTGATGTTCATGATTTAGGTTATTTTTCAGATAAGCCTAAAAGTAGATTATGTTATGAGTTTTTCGAAATATACGGAGTAGAATTTGCTCAGTAAATAAGCTAACACTCTCGTTACTGATTTTTAATTCGTGTGGCAGATTATTTCGTATATAATTCTTATTCATCTAAAAAATAATTAATTGAGTCTCTTATAATAACACTGTTAAAGATCAAATTTTTAAATATATTTTGCTATTTGTTCATCGAGTATTATAATGAAGGACAGGTGAAACTTCATATAAGTTATTAAATCGACGTAATTAAGTTTTCTGCATTCATGTTTATAAGGCATGATAAGGACAGCAAACTCTCTTCTATCTTCAAGTAGCAACCAGGTGCAATTTTACCAACGTAACCCATTCTTATTAGGTACGAGTTAATTACCGAAAACGAGGTTTCTTAGTGTGATACTACCCGGGGGCGTGCCCGAAGAAAGCGTCCCGAGGCCGTTAACCCAAACAGTGCTGTAGAAGTGGGGGGTCCCTTACGGAGTGTCCCTTCTTCAAACTCTGGGAATGGGGCTGAGCCCCCTTCTACTTTAGAAAATCGAGAATTTTTTTATTTCACAGAGGAGATTCAGTCATCTGGCGATACTAAACGCCGAATGTACTCATGTCCAAGAACGACAAAAAGTAATTAAGGTTCATTTCCTGGGCGGTGGGAAGGTGAATAGGTTTTCGGATTGTCGGCTTTCACAAAAAAATGTTCGGATTTCGGACCTGGCGAATATTTTACACGGATTTGCGGATCTTATTAATACAGCGGATTGTGGATTTATCTAATATTTTGGCTCGGATGGTGGATTGAGCTTGCAATTTAGTTTGGATCCTGGATTGTGACTTCATAGTAGAGCTATTAACGGATCCAAATTTAGACAAGAATATTGTTGGATCGAGGATTTTGCTTCAATTTTGGCCCGATCGGCGGATTTGTATACCCCTATTCACCCCCCCCCCTACGGAGCAGGAACTCTGTTACAATCTCAACAAAAATATTTAGTTTTGACTTAAAAAACTCCAGCAGAATTCGTCAGACTTTTGAATTAAAATTCGTTTGGACTATCATACACTTTTTAAAATACCTTATTATGCACATAATTATGTAGGTTAGTCCAGTCTTCATTAGTACGCTGGACAGGTGTTTGTTTCCATTTATTATTTTCTTGTTATGTATTAGTGGACTCAAACGTTCCAGGAAAAAATTCTAAGAAAGGTAATGACGATAAGTATGGAAAATGCAATTTAAATTACGCTAGTGAATAAGGCATTAAATTTCGAAGAAAAAAATCTATTCAAAGAAAATGTACTAAGCGAATAAATTTTACCCCTATATAATAGCTTGCTTAAGAATCGTTCAAACAGTTTTTAAGAGAAACTAGCAGGTTTTATTGAGAAGTTTCAGATTTCAAAATTTCCCAGATACCCCAGTACCAGAAGGCTCACACTCCCCCCCCCCC